GGATTTTTCCGCTTTTCATTCAGATAAAGCTCCTCGTCGTCATTTCTAGCGAACTAGAATATATAATTTTGTACAAAAAACGAATTTTAGCAGCAAAATGTAATTTCCTATAGGATTTTTCGCTTTTCATTCAGATAAAGCTCCTCGTCGTCATTTCTAATGAACTAGGAATATATAATTTTGTACAAAAACGAATTTTAGCAGCAAATGTATTTCCTATAGGATTTTTCGCTTTTCATTCAGATAAAGCTCCTCGTCGTCATTTCTAGCGAACTAGAATATATAATTTTGTACAAAAAACGAATTTTAGCAGCAAAATGTAATTTCCTATAGGATTTTTCGCTTTTCATTCAGATAAAGCTCCTCGTCGTCATTTCTAGCGAACTAGAATATATAATTTTGTACAAAAAACGAATTTTAGCAGCAAAATGTAATTTCCTATAGGATTTTTCGCGGCAAAGCTGTACGTCTAAACAACAACGTTTATCCAAATAGACATCATCTCTCTCTCTACAATTGCTTGTAAAACAGTGAGCAAACCACTAGTCATGTTTGCTTTATGTCCAATCAGAGCAGATCACTCGTCACTCGTTGACGATTTTGGTGTGTATGCTTATCGTCAACGAATTTGGTTGCATCGTCATATTTCTTGTGGACGAGCTGCTCGTCACATAATTCGTTGTCCGATAAGAAAGGGGACTTTTAACTTATATTCTGGCCAATAATAGTCATTTCACCCTCATTAAGAAACACTAATTGTTTTTTCAAAACTGTTTTTTTCAAATTATAACAGTACTTATTGATTTTTATTGCGTGCGCAATATCTGAAAAGACATGTATGCTAATTCAAATTTTCACTGAAGCTTCTGTATCTCAGTCAATAGAAGTTGAACTACATTTATATCAACATATGCTTTGATACCAAAAATATTTTTGTCAGAGTCGTGACAACGTTCTCCTTAATCATTAGATATATATTGTAGATACTTTAAGCTAAGATCATGAAGTGGAACCTGCTGTTAGTACTTTTAAGTATATAAGGAAATTATGGAGTGTGAATCTTGGAAACTGGCTTTGCTTTTAATTACAATACCGTAAAACATCGCAAAGTTAGACAAAGGTTACACCAAGTGAGCTATGTCTCGGAAGAAGATGGACACTTAGATTGCTGGACGCGACATCAAAGACATAGATATCGTAAATAAATCATAGAGGTGGCATTAATGCGAATTGAGGGAGCGCGAGATTTTTTTGTTGGGAGGGCAAGTTCATGTCCCGGATTTATGTCCTTAGAAAACAAGAAGTAAACAAATGATGCTTGACATCTGCTTTAAAGTTTTGGATTCGTTTTTATGTACTGTTGTAAGTGTTTTTGGTCTTTCGTACGAGCATCAGGAAATTTCATAAAGTTAAATCAGTAGTAAATGTTTTTCAGCTAACTGTTCTTATGATTATATGACAAATTTATGTTTTTGAAGTCTCTCAGCAGTTGAAAACACGAAAAAAGGCCTTCACGACTTATAACTTACTGAATAATATAGAATCAACGCAAATTAAAATGTTTTGATAAATATGAGTGATTTAAAACATCTAAAATTACGATGAAAAGGAAAACATATTGTTACGTTCACCGCAACAAGAAAGATTTAAGAACAGAAGACTTCAACTATTTTTATATTATTATTGAATTAAAGAAAGGTATTAGAAAGAAATAATAGGATAGTATAGTAACTTATCTGTCTACGACATCAATAACTAGCGTTGCTTCGCAACCAATATCTTTAACTCTTCTCCGTCATCAAATCCTAACGACGATACGTCCAACAATAAATAACCAAATATCACGAGCGTTCGGTATCTTTCGTATTACACAATTTTCTTTAATAATCATCCTTCTCGCTCTAGCTGTCCACTGCTTATATATTGCTTAGGAGCTAATTATAAAGTATGACGTAATTGCTATTTACAATATATGACGTAATGTAACTAAAATTAGTAAATGACAACAATGAGTCAGCATGATGAATCTAATTAATAAGTCTGACGTTCTCCTAACGTAACACATATAGTTCAATTAATCTATCGTGACAATATTAACTATAAATTTTACTTTTAATATGTAAAAAAAAGTCAAAAAAACGCAGTCAGCCACTGTCGCTTAACATCTGGGGATCGATTTTCCCGCAAAAAAAACGCGTAGCTGCTATTTTTTGGACGATAGATTATATATTACGACGTATGCACGTACGATAACTCTAGTATTATTTATAATCTCTATGGTCTAAGACAACGTAAGTTGACTGAGGTGGTTTGGGTCGACAACGTCGTCGTCTTTCATGTAAAGTGTGATTTAGATTAACTGAATAGACGACGTGTCTTTACGAAAAAAAGAATTTCGTCTTTCATGCGATTGTAAAGAGTCATTTAGCATTTTTTCATAGTCTTTGATAATCAACACGATTTTGGAGGTAAAGAAACAATACTTTGGTTGTGTAAAATAGTGTGTTCACATGGATAGAAAAACATATGTTTCCTTTCAACTTATATTCGATTTTTTGTCATAATACAGCTATTTTATGGCATTTCAGTCAGATTTTCAATGATAAAATTTTTGTTGTTGATTGGTTTGTATTGATTACGTCATTTTTGAGTAAATATAGACAAAACATTTAAAATTAGTGTAGAAAACACACCACATTTCAAAAAATGTGGCTCTTTTCTTTTTAACAGCTCTTTTTTCAGTTGAGATAATAATTTAAGCCTGCGTTGCAAAATATATATTATTTAGTACAAATTCAAAAGAAAATTATTTATCTGTTGATTGTTGATACGAACAACATAACATTATTACATTATGCGTCTTATTATTTCGGTAAATTTGAACGCAAAGCTTTTATACTGAACTAACAATACACTTAAATCATCTGCTTTCATAGACGTAGCTACATTTAAAAGCAAGAAAAAAATTAGAAAACACAGATGTCTTCGAGAGGACCTCATAACAACAATTTTCTTGTCTTGAAAAACACTAAGAGACGTCGCAAGGGCAGAGAATTAATAAAAACCCATGTTTAAGACAGATATCGCCATATTCACGTCGTCTTAGACATCGCGTCTTCAAATCTAAATTTGTTTAATATTTTGTTAATAAACACTTTATAATTACATCAATAACTCTAAATTTATTTCAACTCCTAGAGCATGTTATAAGGTTATAAATGTAACTTGTTCTTTGTAAGCTGGACGAAGACTTGAAAGAGAAAACTACCAACCTTTTCTCGTTTGTGGGTCAATTGAAAGCAGGTAGGTGTAGCAGTGACTTTACATTCGTCGTACATCAACGTCACCATCATTGGTGAAACTCGACGCTTGATGAATTCTGGTCCATTGAAGTTATTTAAACCCTACGTTCTTGTCTTGCACAAATAGGTCGTGGTCTAACTATCGCTGCATTTGTACTCAAAGATGACATCCTGCAAAGAAACGACGAAGTTGAAGCGGCTAAAGCAGTAGGCATTGAAATTATATAAATTGCATAATACAAAAAGGGAGGTCTGTGTGTATAGGTGGATAGACAAATGAGTTGATATTTTCACTTGCCGAAATATGTAGGTAAAAGTTGTTCAAATGTAAGTGTACAAATAGTAAGTAATTATGTTTTTTTATTCATTATTTTTGCTCTCATGTTGCCTCTCGATAGTGCCTACAACAACTTATAAAAATCAACAAAGTCAGAGGATTTTCTCAAGTCATTGTTTCTGATGAAATAAATAGTGGCTTATCGTATCTGTAAGTTAGTTATATGTACAAATTCATAACCATTTTTCTTCGTGTGTAAACAGTTTGGTAGAACGGAGTTTACAGGTCACCTGCACGCTCATATTTTAAACACAGATTTCTTTTTACCAAATTGTACGTAGAATTCAAAGCAATGGACTTGGTGGTCTGAAAGCAAACACTGTCGTCATGGCGTGGCCAGAGAATTGGAAGGAAAAAGACACTTGGAAGAAATTTGTCTGTGAGTGTAACTTAGTCCTGTTGTTGATGGTTGCTGAGCACAACTTTCTTACACTCAAACGTCAAAGTAAACTCCATTGACATAATATGATTACGATGTCGTAGATACCTTACGAGTAATCTCGAAGCGCCACAAGGCACTGCTCGTCGCCAAGAATCTTCTAGCGTTCCCAGGTAATAACGAACGTCTTCAGGGAACCTTGGATGTCTGGTGGACCGTTCACGATGGCGGTATGATGATCCTCCTGATCCTTTTGTTATCGCAACATAAAGTATGGAGGCAATGTAACCTTCGAATTGTTACTGTCGCACGTATCCTTAAATGCAAAGTGTTTGTTTGTATGTGCTCTGCATTATTTTTGCCTCTTGTAAATTTAATGCTTCCATGGGCAAACTTTCTAAATAAGTCTTCAATGACATTGCAGCAACACTGAGCTCATTCCCTTCTTTAGATGATTGGTAGTTTCATGATGTTTAATATTTTCATCTCAAGCCTGCGCAAAAGAAATCTTCAACGAACTTGCAGCAACACTGAACTCATTCTTTACACTAGCTAGTAGTGTCATGATGTCCAATAGTTATTTCTTAGCTGTAATCCAACAGAAATGCAAGACAACAGCGTTCAAATGGCCAAAGATCTCAAGATGTTTGTGTATCAACTTCGTATAAAAGCAGAAGTTGAAGTTATCGAAATGGTAAGGTAGCGAGCATCAAACATGTTTTACTTCCAAAACTTTACGTCGCAGTCATGCATGAAGTGAAATTATGAAGGAAGGACGACACGTTTCTCATGCTTTAATGTAGTTGGATACTGACATTGAAGCCTACACGTACGAAAAACATTAGTTATGGAACAGCAAGACAAAATGTTGAAGAAAATGAGATTGACCAGGAAAGAAAGTCGGAAAGAAGTACAGGCGATCGTAGAAACACACCATAAACCGAATAAAAACCACGACGATCTCCCCCCTGATATTCCAATTCCCACCATCAACATCGACGCATGCTCTGCAAATACGAAAACTGACGAACAGGACGGTTGTGTCATAGGAGACGACAATGAACATCCGTGAGTGAAATATGTGATAAATGTTGCATGATTTTTAGTGCATCTAGTCGTAAATAACAAGTTGACGTTCAGTATATAAATAATTGACTTTATTTCTCTATTTTCTTGTATATAGAAGCCGTATTAATGTACGAAGAATGGACAACGCCGTCAAGTTAAATAAACTGATAAAAGAAAAATCTTTGGATGCTCAGCTCATACTTCTAAATTTGCCTCCGCCAATCAGAGACGAATCGGGTGGCTATAACTGTATCCTTTAATAGTACTTCATTATACCTATGAATCCTGATTTGTTTCCCATTGATCAACCCATTTCACAATCTGTGAACATGAATTGATTCAACAAACCGACTCTTCTTTGATGTTCTTTATCCTCGTGGACAATCGGTTGAATGATGTTCAATAATTTACCTTAACAATGTGTGTTCAGGTATGGAATTAGTTGAAGTGATGACAGAAGGATTAAAAAGAGTGCTCTTGGTGAAAGGAGGCGGAGATGAAGTTGTTACAATATATTCCTAGAATCACGTGCACACGTTGCCATAGAAACACCTCTCACTGCTATCCTTCAGCATCTGTGTTGCAAGGACATAAGGCACGTGTTTATTTTGTTCGACAATCGAAAGTTTGCAAAGCAAGTTGATCGTTTTGTGTTTTGGAAACTGGACTGTTTCGACCGGTTCACAAGTTTCAACTTTATACACGTTCGGGGAACTTTAGCTGGCATCCTGACCAAGTACATCACGAGTTAATGCTGCGTTCTATTTATACGAGAATTTCTCCAAAATTTTCCGCTTGCTGTGGTGAGCCAACGATTGTAAAATGTTTCACCTTTAACGCATTTTCAAAGCGTTTTTCATAACTTTAATAAAAGATTTTCGCGAAACCGTCAAAATTGAAAAGAAAATAATGCTTACAAAAGCGCGAAGAAAATTACAAAACTTACATTAGAACTAATATGCCATTGATAAGGCGGGGGGGGAGGTGTTTGTTTTTGGAGAGAGTTTGGGACGACGCATTGTTCTGTTGTCTTGTTAGACAGTACACACGAATGGTGGCAGCTGAAATATTTATCCAAGAAAATTAATCCTACCTTATCGAGGTTATATGTAAGGGAAATTTCACTTATAATAACTCTTTAAGATACCTTCAAGTCCAAGATATGTGTGATAACACATTACGATTTTTCTGCGAGATAACACTTTAAGATATCTCTACGACATGAGATAACACTTCAAGATATACCTCCAAGATATAAGATAACACTTCAAGATATCTCCAAGATATAAGATAACACTCCAAGATATCTCCAAGATATGAACTAACTCATTAAGATAACTCCACTACAGAGATAAAACATTATAATGACTCCACTACAGAGATAACACTCTAAGATACCTCCACTACATCTTCATAAGAAAGTTTAGATGGTTTAGTGAACCGTTCGGCCATCTTACGACGCAAATCACGAACCTCCGCCATTAATACAATTTCCCATTTTTCAAATGTTGCTCTTTGTCGTTCCAAAGAAGGTTCTACAGTCAAATATAAATCATGGATCAAACATGCATTGTTTATAAATCTCTACTATAACTTGATTACATGAAAACTTCAGTACAAAATTGGAGTAATTTTGTGCATATCTACCCAACCAAAAAGAAGAAAATTTTTAAACTTACCAGACAGTGATTCATAATCACGAGAGGGCGTACTGTAATCGCTTTTAGTCTTAAGATGATGCAATCGATTTTCATCGGCAATTCAAGAGAGATATCTCTCCCTGGCAAGTTCTGCTTTCCTACTAAGACCCATTACTTCCTGAAACACAAAGTATCCAAAGAGGTCAATTCATGATCCCAAAGTTGTTCAAGTTGCCGCTCAATGAAATGGACACGGATTTAGATAAATGTCACTGAGATGGAAACAGATTTAGATAAATGTCACTGAAATGGACACGGATATAGATAAATGTCACTGAAATGGACACGGATTTAGATAAATATCACTGAGATGGACACGGATTTAGATAAATGTCACTGAGATGGACACGGATTTAGATAAATGTCACTGAAATGGACACGGATTTAGATAAATGTCACTGAGATGGACACGGATTTAGATAAATGTCACTGAGATGGACAAGGGACAGACTAGCATGCGCAACACACAAATTCAGGGTTTGTACAGAATTCGAATGCGCTTGGATTTAAATTGAAAAATTCCAACACCTCAAAAGTACTTTAATTGAAAGTGGTTCGATTCAGATTATTTGAATGGAATTTTTGTAAGCATATAGTCGCATTACTTTCTTTTCAAAATTCCATTTGAAATTGTATCTCAACTCTTTATTATATGGCTTTGATTGGCTCAGAAACATTTTTGCCGGTCCATTATTTTCCCGTAATCGACCACGGTCCAAAACGCCTAATTTTAATACGAATGTGATTCGAAGGAGAAACACTCTGAAAACTGTTGAACTATCCAAACGATATATTTTTTACTTGTTTGTAAATGTAGATCGTCCAGGTTGGTATAGTCCTGAGAAGGACTGTTTTTGTTGATGTTGACTGACGTTTCAAACCATTTACTTGATTTTTTACTGATAAAATCTAGAAAAGTGAAAGCCATTCCGTAAAAAACAGCCAGGACGTTTGACGTTTAAGGTCAAATAATGCCATATAATGAACCTTTTAATGATCTCGCTTTTTCGGTCTTTACTGAGAAATATCAGACCTCTATCTTTTTGTACCTCGGTCCGATATCTCTCCGTAAAGATCTCGAGCTCAGTTATTAAAGGCTTATTATTGGACATGAAAAAGTAACTCGTGTGCTAAAGGGTTAATGTCAGAAGTTTAAAGTAATCTACCAACATGGCAGCTTTCAAGTCAAACTTAATTCATGATTTTACC